ATGTCTCCTGAGATACTTGCTTGGATTGGGAAGTGCAGGATGTCCTTTACAAGAGTGTCAGTCCTGCTCTGAGCTGAATGAGCCTCTTTCTCCTACAGACATCATTTGCTGGGTCTGGAAGGAGGAACAAGGACAGTTGTGATCCTGCTCTTGCAAAAGCCAGGTTGTTCCTGTGTAATAAAAGAAATGTCCCTGCAGGAGACGGAGGAGCAGGTTAAATTGCCCAGCCAGGCTGTGTCCCAGCAGTGGCACATCAGCTGCCACCACTGCTGTGCTGGGAGAAGCTCTTGTCCAGAGAGAAGCCAGGAGTGTAGGGACAGGTCTAAAGTACATATACTAAAAACTCCAAAGTATTTAAAAACCTTTGCTTGGTGCTTGCCTCCTTCCTCTTGGTGGGCCAGAGCAGTTGCCCTGTAATTGAGATGGTGGCAATGAATCTTGGAGTGGAAGGAGCCTGCTGCTGCTCGGCACCAGATGTTTGGATGTGCACAGCCACATGTTCATGTCTGATGAATCTTAATGTCTCCCTTGTGTTCCCCCTCTGCCTCCCCAGAACATCAACGCAGCTCAGTCCAGCTTCTTACCTGAGAAGGAAAAGCAGGAGCTGCTCAACACGCTGTATGAAGCCTATGGGATGGTCCCCAACGCATCGTGACCCATCCCCGTGAGCCAGCGTGGAGCAGTGGCCCTTCTTCATGTGTGCTTGACTGTTCTCTGTGCAAGTGGGAGCACCAGGAGAAGGTGCCCGGAGTCGGTGTCTACTACTGGCACCCCTGTTAACCCTTACAGTGTTAAGCAGAATCAGGCTCTCCCATATACCTACTGATCACCCCCACAAACTGTCTCCCAAATGGATATCCACTTCCTATCTTGCTGTTGTGCAAGGAGGCTGAAACTGCCTCCTGGCCTGACTCCCTTCTCCATCTGCCAGACTTTCTGTACTGCAGATGAGAACAGAAAAACCTCCCTTGCTTTTTTCTTTTTTCTTTTTTCTGTTTTCTTTTTTCTGTTTTCTTTTTTTTTCTTTTTTTCCCCTTCTTACGCTGCTTTATCTGTCCTGCTCCACTGCCTTGCCTAGCCCCTGTCTGCAGTGCAGAAATAACCACCTTTAACTATGACTGTAGCCTGGGTTAATCTTCACTTTTCTAGGAAGAAGGTGTATTAGTGCTGACAGGAGTGAGCAGGCACTTCAGAAACAGAGGCTTTATTCCCATCTGTGTGGGCAGGAGGGTTTGGCTACAGCTATATTTACCCAGGGTTAGTCTTGTACTAACAAGACTGGAACAAGAACAAGCTGGAAGCTGGTGATCTTGCCCATGCACAGGTATGAAGGGCATTTAAAAAGAAAATATATATTTTTTTGGCATCCTTTCTCGGATAAAGACTCCTGTGTGCCGGGCGTCCCGGTGGCACTGCCGCAGAAGCGCACACTTTGGGTTCAGGTGCCAGCTGTGCTCACAGCTGGCCATGACCGTGCTCATGCATGCATAGGAAGTTGGAACATATTTTTACCATTTTGGGCCAAATTTTGCCTTCTGGGACTTTTCCCAGTTTTGTACTCATCCTGGAGAATTCCTGTGAACTGCAGTTTGCTCTTCCTCTATCTTTGTTTAGGACTTGGAAAAACCATGATCGATGGTTTTAACCATTCTGCCCTCTTCTTGACTTGACGTAATCTTTAGGCACTATTAAACTGAGTAAGTAAATTAATAAGCTAGGGCCCAATGTCATGTGTTGACTCAGGTCCCATCTGAATTGCTTCTCTCAATCAACCACAACACTAGTTAGAAGTCACATCTTCAGTTTGGTGGAGAATTTATACGGAAATATTCACCAAAATTCTTAAGCCATTTTGGTGCATTATAGTATTTTTACTTACTATGCAATACAGCCATGCGTCCAGAGAGGAACCATCACTTTCTTACGTGAGTGTGTGCTGTGCTTTAGCATCCCAGGTGTCTGCCAAGATGCTTACTCCAAAGATACTGTACCAAAAAGTTGCCTTTGACAGGGGGCTGTGGTTGCCGTTAGCACAGACAGTGTGTGAGACTGGTCCAGTCTCAGCCAGCAGAGACTACATGCTGGGAGTATTTCCATTCTTTCTGGGCTTCCATATTTGTCTTCTGAGTAAAAAACTCATCTCTGAAGTACATGGTGCATATATACACCTATATATATATAGCTAGCTAGATGGATGTGAAAGAGTGAATTTCTTACTTTTATAAAGCAAATTATAAAGCATCACTTTTAAGAACCTGATTGTGGTAAGAACCAGGCTTTTTTTGGGTAATTTTTCTGCAAAAATTGTCTCTGAAGAAGAGTTGCTTGTTTGGATTCTGGACAGTTGATTGTTAATCCTGTTTAATAAAATAACAAATTTATATGAAAAGATAAATCTTCTTGCCTTTCTGTTCAAGGGAGACTAGTCCACAACCTGAGCCATCGTAGCCCAAGGCAGTTGGTAGGTGTGGTTGGGGTTTGGCAGCCCAATTCCTGCCTTCTCCTGCTTCCAGGTCAGAGCATTTTGAAAGTTAACGCAGGGCAAACCAGAGGGAAGGTGTCCCTGCTCCCTCAATAGACGGGTGAGTTGGATTTATGGATGCAGGTTGTTCCAACCTCACGTGTCCTTTTCCCTTCGGTAATCAAAGGGACGCACATCTCACTGCTAGCAGCAGCAGCACTATTGCTGTGTACTCTCCCTTTTTCAAGCATGTATCAAAAATATTTTACAATATCTTTCCCCCCCCATCTCCTGAGTTTTGCCTGGTCAGTTGATGCCAAGAGCCAGAAGCAGTGCAGCCTGGGCTGCCTGGCTGTAGGACTGGGCTGTCAGCTCAGGCAAGGGAGCATTTTGTTTGCTGAAAGACTTTTTCTGATCGTTTAGTGCTCTGTTAGAGTTTCAGGAGGTCCAGCATGCCCCTATGGTCAGCTGAAATGAAGGGCTCGGAGCATCCGTGTGCTCAGCAGCTTTGCAGGTCTGGGTGTGGCTGGATTAAGCCAGTGCCCTTGGTCTTTCAGCACAATCGGTGACGGTGGCTGACCTGGCTCTGCCACTTGCAGGGGGAACCCGATGCCTCTCGCCTGTCCTTTGAGGGTAGCTGGCCAACGAGTCCCTCATCATCTGCCTAAGTATAATTCTGGAACAGATATTTTCTGACCAGGGAGACCTAAGATTAGCCTGTGTTTGACTGCTGGAGGTCTTGCCTGGTGTGCAGTCGCTCTGCGTTGCCTTTCGGCTTTCTTTGTGTATGTCAGCATGAGCCAAAAATACTGTTCAGTGGCAGTGAGGAGAGCTGGAAATGGGGCTTAAAGACCCAACTGTGCCGTCAGCCAAGCCCAGGAGCTACCTGCTGTTTTGCCCTGAGTGTGGGGAAACGGGATCAGGCTCTTGGCCACTGTCTGGACACGGAGCTGCAATAGTCCCTGGCAGCTCCGGGAGCTGAACTGGTTTGCAGCTGCCAAAGCAGCAGATGCAGCCACTACCTGGCTGCCAAATCCTTGTTTCCTGTGGGAGCTGGAGCCATGGACATCTCTGTCCCAGCCCCACAGCCATCACTTCCCAGAGGCCCACAGACAATTGTCCCCCTGTCTGGCAGCTGCTTCTCTGCTTATTTATGGTCTTGTTTTCTCTAATAAATCTCAAACTTGTAACACACAGTTCTTCCCTAGGCTGTCAGGGTGATGCTTGTCCCTGTGTCACCAGTGGAGAGTATTTCTCAGGCCAGCTCTGCCTTGTCCCTACCCCAGCCATTGATCCCAGCTGGGCTGGAGCTGGCTCTGTCCAGATTGGCTCTGCCTGGGCTGAGGGAAATACCAGGGATGTCCTTGTAGCTCTGTGCTGCAGAGGGAACACGTATCTTCCCACCAGCACCTCTTCTGCTGGTGTCTGGGCCACTCCACCAAGTCCCAAGCCAGCCTTGTGCAGATTTTTAGTGTTTTTCATGCTCAACTTGACATCTGCTTCCACCTGGGTGCTGTGAACCCGTGGGGTTTCGCAGGCCCAAACAGAAGGACACAGCTCCTGTAACACAGCTCCACATCTCACTGTTAGTGGAAGCTGGTGTAACCACCCTGCAGCTCCAGCAGCTAGAAGGCAAAACAGAGGAAGAAGAAACATCCAGGCAGAAAAAAACACCTTCAGTACTTGAAGGCTGTGTTATTTATTCCAACAATTTATGTAGTTTTATCAAACTATCTTTAACACAAAACATGTCTCCTAAAAGAGAGAATGGTGTGAAATCCTACCAGAGATCATCTCAGCTAACAGTTTGCAAAGTTAAGCCTGAATTTCAACAGTCAAACCAGCAAAATGTTTCTCCCCCTCCCCTTAACAATATCTTAAAATGCTAAAACCCAAAGGAAAAGATGCCTGTGGGTGGTGCTGCTGGGTCTGTAGGTGGAGCTTGTCCACACAGAGCTGTGCTTTGGTCCTTTCCTGGTGCTGAGTGGCAGCAGCACGGGTGAGTGGTGCTTGACGTGAAGGCAGCGGGACTGGCTGGGTCCCTTCCCCACTGCCCACCCTGACAAGGGACCACACGGACAGTCCAGAGGCCAGGTCACATCTAAGATGCAGATGAGGGTGAGGCTTAGAAAAAACCCAATAATCTAAATTTCTAAACTATGGAAACAGAATAAATAATAGTGTAAATTTGCAAAGGAGGAAGGTACCTTGGACAGGAAAGTCTGATGTGTCTATTATTACTGAAATTGTTTTTTTCCCCAAGGGGAAAATTGCAGCTAAGGCATCTTGAGAATGGCTCATATCCCTGCAACCACGGCAGTGTTGCTCTAAATCATTAGGGATGGGAGCAGAAGTCTTTTGGAGGTGCCAGTCCTTGCACAGCATCTCGTGACTCTCTAAACAAAAACGGTTGCAGCAGAGGCATTTGACAGACAATTCGCTGTTCCAGGTTGGCTTTTGTCTGCCGAGTCAAGAGCAATTTCTTGTTTAATGTTCACAACAAGGCCCTCCTCCTGCCCATCCCACCCCCTGTACACTGTCACGGGGAGGGGCTGTTTTCTTGCTCCTTTGGTCTTGCTCCAGGGTCGTTCTCAGAAGTGCCATCTCTTTGGCTTTCTGCAGGAGGGAGGATTGGGAAGAAAGCACGGTTACACTCTGCTGAGGACACAAGCCATCAGTAATTGCTAGAGCTGATTTTATTCAGATTGCCACCTGAAGACCTATCACTACCCTCCTGTGGCCAGATATTTGGCTTAAGAGTATTGGGTTCTCCCTTCATGTTCCTGGAGTACAAACCCTTCTCAACACATCTGGTGATGCTGGGAAGGAGCCTCGGGGCAGGGATGTGCTCTCCTTGTCTAACCTGTGACAGCAACTTGCAAAGTGCTCCAGGAATGTCTGTCCCACAGCCTGGCAGCTGCCTGAGCTGCTCTCTGTTAGAAGAGCTCTAATTGGTGACCTGTGCTAGTAAGGGTGTGCTGGGGCAATGGGTTCTAAAGTGCTTTTATAGTTACAGATTGTAGGTTGGAAGAGTAAAAGAGAAAGGGCAAAAAAAAATAGTTTATCCCCTGCAGTGGTGCTGCCTGTTTTGTGGATTAGTGGTGAAATCAGGCTGACTGGTTTGCTTGGGCTCTGGACGGAGGATTTATGCTGGTTGTAGTCAGCTGGTTGGCGTGTATTGAGCAGGGTGATACTGCTGCCCTGTCTGGGCTACTGGGGAAGATTTGGAGACAGCTGGTGGTGTTTAAAATTATTTCTGTTGTTATTTAAAATACTGTGGAACTATTTGAAGGCTGATTAAAAACAAACAAACAAACAACAACAAAAAACTAACAGAGGAAAAAGCAAACCACAACCCATCCCACACCTGATTTTTATGAAGCCTAAGATCTATCTGATGTGTGATTTGCCCTGGGAAGGCTGTTGATCAGTCTGTGTCCTGTTTGAGCACTTGTGCCTCTACAAACCAACTGAGCAAAAGGCCTTGGCTGGAGCATGCAGGGCTCGTGTGTTGGGAACGCCGGGACCATTCCCTTGGTTGCAAGAGCCCCTTGGCCCAGGGAGTCTCCCACTAGCTGAGTACCCACCAAGCATGAAGGCACTGACTGCAGCAAGGAACGGGATGTTCCTCCTGAGCATGTGTGATGCTCCCAGAGGCAGCACTGGTTAGCTGTGCTACCATTTCATGCCATGCCCTTCCAGCATGTGTGCCAGGAGCTGGGCTTACTGGTGTCTGCAGCAGCTCACCTGCTCCTTTAACAGTGAGGTCACCTAGGTCCTCAGTCAGCTTTCGCGTGCTGATGTTGGTTGCATCTAGTTGGATGTCGTGGACAGCGTTCCTCCGACCAGCCCGATCGCAGGAAATGAAGTCAGTGTATGTGCTGGACTCTACCTCCATTGCATCTCCATATATCTGCAAAGTGCTGCAGAGAAAACACAGCTGTGAGGTCAAGGATGCTCAGCAAGCCTCGCATTATGGCTCCCTCCAGGTTAGGTTACTCCATGGAGTTAAATTACAGCATGAAAAAATAGTCCCTGTAACTCTGCTCCAGTTCCTCTAACAGGAGCTACTGCAATCTCAGATATCAACCCCGTCACGTGGGGCAGCGTGCTGGGTGACCCACCGTGCAGGGTGATCCGTAGTGCTGGGTGACCAGTGTGCCAGATAACCCATGGTATCTGGTGACCCACAGTGCTTGGTAACCACTGTGCCAGGTAACCCACGGTGCTAGGTGACCCACTGTGCCAAGTGACCCATGGTGCTGGGTGATCCACCATGTTGGGTGACCCACCGTGCCAGCAAGTAGGCATGAAGGATCCTTCCCAGCTGCCTCACTGGCCCTTGTTCTGTCTTCCCATTGCAAAGCAAGGCAGACAAGATGTTTGTCCTTCCTTTTGAGTTTCTGGCCACCTTCTTTAGGGGCTGAAAGGGTGCTTGCAGCAGCTGTTCCCTACAGAAAAAGCATTACAGAAAAAGCCTGCCTTCCTCCTCAGAATGCCACAGGAGCTTTGAATGAGGCCAGATTTGGCTCCCTGCACTAGCGGGGGGGAGTGGGGGGTGGGTGGGTTGCTGATCCAGCCTGAGTTTGTAATGGGAAATGGTCAGGGCCCTGATGGATACACGCTGGAGAGCTCAGGGACCAGGGGAGTATTTTATAGGTACGGGGCTTTGGATCAGTGCTGGCCTCCGCTGGTTCTTGGTTGTCACTGAAAAAGTGCTGGGCTGGACTGCTTGGAGATAAGCACCTTAACATGTGAAAATCAGCTCTCCCGTGGGATGTTGGATCCCTTCACTCCAGGCTTGTGTCTGTGCCAAGTGCAGAGCGCAAAGAAAAGCTCAGAGCGGCCTCTCGTCACCGCGAGCTCCACTGCGAGCCAGCTCGTACTGCAGCCTGATGAGTCCTGAAGTTGCTGGGTTTTCATTTTAGCTGACAGTGTAACTTGCTGGGGTTCATACGCCATGCAGAGCCCAGGGACCTCAGCAGCTCCGGGAACGTGTCACAGGTGTCCTGTCTCCTGGGCACAGAGCTAGTGAGCACACGCTGCCTCTGCACAGGAACCTGCTGCTCTCGGTTCCTGCTCCTGTTTACTCACTTTGGCACTTAGTTTGCTTTTCTGTGTGGAAGTTAGAGATTAATTGTTGTCTTATCTGTGATTCTGCTCACTGTAAAAAATGCCTTTAGCCTTGCTGATGTTGTCAGTACTTGAGGGAGGTCCAGGTTAGAAATGCTGGTGTCTAATTAGAAAAAAAAATAAAATCAAAAATCCAACTTCTTGTCTTTCACTTGCTTTTGTGTCTTGGGGTTAATGTCCTACTGAGAAATTTGCATAGTTCCTGTACAAATCCTGCTTAATATTGATCTTCCTACCAGGGAAATCTGCTGGCAGACAAGCAGCCTGGGCAGGAATTGCACTCCTCACTCTGTAATCCCTGATGCTATGTCAGTAGAAAGAAGATGCTGGTGAAGATGCAATAGCCAGGATAAAAGGGGTTAAATTCTCCTTGTTCCTGAGACTGAGCAGGGTGCAGTAACCTCAAACCTGCATAAACCCAGTGTGTTTTGGTAGCCTCAGGGACTCCTCTCTTGGAGCTGGTGTCAGTTCAGGGAGCGCTGGCACTGGCTCGCTGGTGGGATGTAGGGCTTGGCCCACCCAGACCTGCCTGGAGAACTTGCTTCTCCAAATCCAGCACATCTTTGCAAACACTCACCTCCTCCCAGGGCCTGGCATCCATCCAGCCCCTGTTAAATCAGCCCTGGGATAAGCTGCATCCTTTGCCCCAGGAAGAGATCCCAGCTGCTGTTTTTCCTCCTTTTCCCTTCCTTTCCAGGCTTTCCCTTCCCAAGATGAAGTGCCTGTCCCAGATGCAGCAGGCTGGCTGATCTCGACAAGCAAAACGTCTTTTCCTCAGGACGGGACAAGCATCCATCACTCCCAGACAAGTCCTCCTTGCAGCTCATCGGAGCCCAGAGGCTGCTGACCTTTGGTAGCTGCCAGGCAGATGTCCCATGGTCTTGGGAGGCTTCCCTAAGAGCGATCCACACAAGCCTGGGTCCATCTCCACATCAGGGAGACCAATCCAGAGCTGATATGCTCAGGAACCCTGCCCTTGTACCAGGGGCTGGACCACCTGGGTCACAGGATGGGCTCCACAGACTGGCCAGCCCCCGGGATGCAGCATGTCCCGGGTGTCCCTTGATGTGGCTGTCGATGACAGATGTGTTCCACTGCGTCAGCACTGTGCCACGTGACTAAATACTGTCCTGGTTTTTGTGAGGATCGCGTTAATATTCTTTTTAGAAAAAAAAAAATTCCCATCCCATGGGAAAAGGATGGGATCTTGAGTAAAAATAGGGGAAGGAACCAAGTTGTGGGAAGCAGGTCCTGCTTGGAGCACGGCTGGGTCCCAGCTCGGTGGCCGGGAGATGGCGTGTGTCATTTAGTTATTTCTGTGGCTGGGAGGGTTCCTGCCTTTGGCTTTCCATGCAAAGAGCTGGAGCAGGGCGGGTTTATGAGCAAAGCTTTTGAATTTGTGCAGTTCCTTCAGTATTGACAAGGTGGGTGGCTCTCAGAAGCCTTGTGGGCTGATCCCTCCCCACGGCAGAGACACTCCAGCCTCTCTGTCTCCGAGGAGCTGTTGGACAAGGAGGTGATGGGAGCAAACGCCTCAATTTTTGATAGAAAAACCTGATTTGATTTTTCAAATAGCATTTCCACATTTCCAGGCAGGTGCAAAACAGTTCAGTGGGTTTTTAGTCAGTGGAAACATCTGCTGGGGACATGAGAGGAACCACCTTCCCTTTTGCCCACATAGTTCAACCTGAAACTGCGTCACCATGGACAGTCATTCAGCGCTGGCAGGGGGGTACAAAGGGGGTGCATCCCCTGTCATCTGCCCATCCTTCGGTTTTCCATACTCCCATGGCTGGTGGGAGGGACTGATGTGCCAGCTCTTGCCAGGTGTCACTGGAATAAGCCCACAGCACACAAATACAGTGCGCAAGGGTTTCCAGAGCGCTTCAAAGAGGTGATTCAACTTGTCCCCAGAGGGTCATTTCCTGCCTCCATTCCCTCCTTGCTGCTGACACTAACAGAAATGGTCCCTGTGCCCTCCATGCAGCGTGGGGACAGGGCAGGAGATGCGTGGCACGGTGACAAAGGCCATGGGCAGGGGTCTGCTGCCTGCTGCACCCTCCTCAAAAGCTTTCTGTGCTGCTTGGAGAGAGGCTGTGTCCCCTCCACCATGGGGACACAGTCCTGCCTGTCCCAGAGCAGCTGGCCACAAGTGAGGGGACCTTCACAAGCTGCCACAGACACCAGATGTGTCCCCAGAGCCACCTCTGCTCCTGTGCCCCCTGAAACAACCTGGCTCTGCCAAACCTGCCATTTGGCCTGCATATTTTTCCATAGTGTCTTGCGAGGACTAAAAAAATCTGGGACTGTAATATTCTTGGCTTCACTGGCACGGACCTGGCTTCCGGAGTGGTTTTGCTGTCGGCCACAGCTGGGCTCACTGGCATTTTCCAGGGAAGTGACCCAGCAGCTGATGGAGCAGCTGGGACTGCTCTGGGGGGCTGCAGCTAAACCAGCACTACACACACTGCGCCTGAATTTTACCCATTTAGAAAGTGGATGCTAAGAAATTAGAGAGTTAAATGTTTCTTCTGCCTTTTGGTAGAAGAAACTGGGGCATTTATTTTGGGTCAGCTCAATGCCCCTCTCAGTCCCAAGCCGGCAGTTAATTCCCATTTCCCCCCTTGCCAGCTTCTCCACTGCACAGATCTCAGGGACTATGAGCAAACAGTAACTGCAAATAATAGGAGTGGCAGAGAAATGACCTGGAAACACCACGGGCAGGTTAAACTCAGCACAGGACCATGTGCAGAGCAAAGAGAAGCCCTGTGACCCGAGCCAGCGGCTGGGGTCTCACTCCGAGGGATCGGGTGGATGTTACAGTCACACCCAGCCCTGGACTTCAATTTCAAGGAAACCCTTCACACGATATTGCATCTGTCCCTTGGCTGGGTTAAACGACAAGCTTTTTATGGCCAGGAAGGGCTATTTTTGGGCTCTGCACTGATGCTGGCTATCAGCGGGCTGTGCCAAATTCAGCCAGCTCCCCCTACGCTGCCCACTTTGCTCCTCTTTTCTCCTCTGCCTCTCTTACCTCGTGCCTTCCTCCATATTTTGTTCTCCACCTAACCAGCCTTTGCATCTCTGTGGCCACAGCAGGCAGCCCCTGAGGGGCAGGGACTGTGACACCGAGGTCCCCGGGGGCAGGAGCCCCAGCAGACTCGTGTCCTGGGGTGCTGCTGCCCAGCTGTGGCCTCATGCCAGCCCGTTGCCAGTGACAGTTGGGACCAACAGCTGCAGGTTCCTGTTGGAGATGGCTCCCTGGTCCCACAGCCCAGCCGGGGACGTGCTCTCCCACCTGCTTGGTGTCACATCAGAGGATCTAACACTCTCTTTTGTCCCCCAAACTTCTGGAGTCATAAAGCCACGAAGCCAAGCTGAACCTTGCTGTGTTTCTGGGGTGAAATTTCAATGTTCTGCAGGGGAGCAGGGACGTGACCCCCATCTTCTGCTCATGCATCATCACATCCCTTCATTGCTAACCTGCAGGGACCAGGGCATGGAGTCATACGGTCACCGTCGATCTCTCAGCATTGTGCAGTGCCCCTTGTCCTTTAATTCCAGGGTACAGTGACTATTATTAGACCTCTCCTGCTGGGGCCGGATCCGTAACAACAGCAAAACATACTCAACAGCCCTGCTGAGCTCTTAAAATATTTACAGTGTAAGATGGTTTACTGCGGAGGGGGGCCTGGTAGAGCACAGAGACAGGAGCACCGGGATTTCTGTGCTCCCTGTGGGTCTGCTCTGAGGTTTCCTGCTGGG